ATTTTGGTCATTGGTAATTGGGCATTTGGCATTTGGAGATATGGAACTCCCCTGGAATGATTTTCTTGAGTGACTATCAAACAATAGCGTCCTAGTGAGCAATTCCGAATGCCCAAGGCAGCCTTCATTGAATCAGCTATATAATAATTTTCCAACCCTTGGATAAAGTTTATTTATGTAAATGGTCAGATAATGTTATTTTCCAAAATATTTTATATTTGAGGAATGCTCAACTGCTGTGACATGAAAATATAAATATGGGTAAACATTGGCTATTTTTTCAGGGGCACCCAACGAGAATGTAGTTCAAAACCACTTATAAAACATAGCATAGTCTTCATATGTCTTCCTACGAAATGAAATGTCTTCATATGACAGCTTTTATTAAATTGGACAGCTTTGTTAAATTGACCGGATACAGTTACATCTTCAAGTTTCTAGTGGCAAACCGGTCACCTCACGGTTTAAAAATAGTAAGCAAATTTCAGACAAGGTAAATTTCCTTCCGCCCATCATAGTGTTTACCATTTGCACAAACCAGTTCCATCTAAGGGAAAACGGCTGCGAAAGCATGAAACCGGCATGATATCAAATACGACTTTTTCAATAGAACATGAATTACCGTCCGGAAAAACAGCATTACTTTTTCAGATATTCCTTTGCTCCTGGGAATGACCCAAAAAGTCGTTTTCAATTTACTTTCCGACCGGATTTTCCGGAAACGTTTTGGTATTTATGTGAATTAGTGGTTGTCAATATCAGATTCATTTCATCATTCTAGTATCCGTAATGAGTAGTTAATTAACACAGTCACTAGGCTAGTTAAAATTTCTGTCATCTTATGCAGAATGCAGATTTGAATCGTCTAACGACTAACTTCCTCGATTTCTAAATAATCGGCTGTCTGAAACAGTGTTTCAGACTTCTGATTATTTAGAAATCGAGGCAGTTTCATAGTCTTTAGCCGATTCAAACCTGCATTCTGCACAACCTCGTCCCAGGGCCCTGGGGAAGAGACGAATTACTTTTCAGACTTTAAAATAATCGGTCACGAGCCTGCTCCTGAATCAGTCCTTTCAAAGAATTTATGAGGATAATCCTGGCTTAGCATGACTGCAATTTACGCCAGAGTTCTTCGAGCATTGAATAATCAATGAAACGAGTAGTGTAAAACTGTTTCAAAAGAGTTCTCATTTCGTTTTTAAACGAAGCCGAAAAAAAACCGAAACTGGAACTGGTAATATAGATGCCGAAAAGACTTTTTCCAAATAGAAGAAACGGTATATTTTTTTTTCAACTTCGTTTCCTCAACTGTGCTTTTAAAAAGACCTTTCAAATCACATTCCATAGGGGTATTACCTTTTTCACTCCTTCCTCCTTGCTTGCTTCTTAATCATTATTTCGAGTGAGACAGAGCATTTTGAAATCAAAAGTATTCTAGTCAATGAGACCCTAAGCCTTACCGATAGAGTCTCCTCACGTAAAAGAATCCGGAAAATTTTTGTTCATGGAATGCAAAATACCAGGGAAAATTTTTGCTTGTGGAATCCAGAATACAGCTCAGGAAATTCAGAATCCTGTTAAAGATTGAAATCCAGAATCCATGTTCTACTGAAAAGGACTGGAATCAGGAATCCACGACGTGTAATCTAGAATCCAAGACTGTCTTGGATTCGCTTACATGGGACGAAATGGAGGCCTTAGTATCGCGAACAATCGTCAAGTTGTTAGTGGAACAAAGCCGATTCTCGACTATAGGCTAATCTATATTGATCATCGACAGTTGGTGTCGAGGACTTGAATCACTAACGGCAAGATGCATGGTGTTACGGTTACTCTGACCCAGAGGGACTTAAGGGTGACAAGAGCACTTTTCCTATAAGAGTTCCATAGTATGGAACGACCGTGTCGATGCGGGCAATAGAGTTTTTTAAACGCTCTACCCGTTTGTTTCACTTTTCGATAAATTTCCTAGCCGTCAATGCGTCGACTACGACAAAAAATTTCCTCCGTTTACGTGAACAATGGAGGACAGTAAAACAAGAAGACGATTTTCTTTATCTTGTTTTGAACTGACCTAAACTTGATTCAAAATTTGGAGTTTTTCTCAAAAAAAAAAAATTCACTCATGCATTTAGCAAGTTGAATGAGATGAAGTGACTGCACACGATGAACTTTAAAACGGCGCAAATTCATTTTTTAAGTGTCACGTTTTCGCTGCTATCGCCGTTTCCTGCCTTGCCTTAGCTCCCGCCATAAGTGAGGGTCGATGAACCCATCTCTCGAATTGAACGAGTAGGGAACCTTGAAACGAAAGCATCTAAAGCAGTTGATCATAAGACAACCCGTTCAGTGTAGAACATTCTTTGGAGAGAACAATTGGTGGTCTTACTTTTGAATCTATTTTCAAAATCCTGTTACCATTTGAAGAAGCCCGTTTTTTGTATAGTACTATTTATTTTTAAGGATTTGTGTTTAATACTTTACGATCGAAGAACCTTGTAACCGTTAAATAACTTGTTTTGGTCACGCTTCACTATATATACCGGACTTCGATGCTTTCGTTTGGAGGTTTCCTTCAGGAACCCAAGCCAATTCTCAGGTATGTTTTAGATGAATGTCTAAATGTGTGAATATACGAGAACTGGGAAAATTTGGAGCCATACCACATGAAGAATAATGCCGCAGAAAACAACTACTAAATTAAGGTTCTTGTCACCGTAAAAACCTGTTCTTCGTTTTTGAATTATGTCAGTTCAACAAGTTTCGATATTGCTTTGAAAGTATCTTCCAATGAAAGAAGAAGAGTTGTTCTATTGATGGAAAGTGTCTAAATGTCTCCCTGCGGCTTTTTTTGCGAACGCTAGGAGAGTTGATTTTAGCAAATTTCGGGTTGAAAATACGGCCATTTTGAGACTCCGACCACGAAAACTGATATTCTTACTTTTCTCGAAAATAAAAGGCTTTTAGCGAGAACAACTTACATCAGATTATTTATCTACCTAAAAGCTATTTATGAACAAACAATGAAGGAAATCGATTTTTCAACTCTTGCCACTCGATGGTCGATATTTCCTGACCGTCGCTCTTAAACATTATAAGAAGTATAAAAATCCTATTTCCAAAAACGATGAGAATGAATCACTCCCGCAGTCGAGAAAAAGTCTCAGTAGCAGCAGTTGCCAGCTAGTAGAAGATTCGTGACCTACTGCATTTGCAGCAGATCGACTTCCAGGTGTTATAGTGAGTGACGTCATAGTTTGTACGAAAAGTAGCCGAATAGCGTTGAAGTGCGTGAGATTTAAACCGATTAAGACAAGTGAGAGTACGAGTGGATTCAGGTAACGTATTCCAGAGTTTAGCAATACGGTTAAAGTAACTAAATTGAAAGAGCTTTGTGCAGCACTTGGGAATTAGTACGTCTTGATCAGAGCTTTGGCGAGTGAGACGAGTGCCTTTAGGCTTGACGTAATCATTTATGCGTAACGTGTAGTGGCCATGGCGACACTTGAAATAAAAAATTAAGTCTTTCACTTCATGCCAGTATGTTAACGGTAGGAGATTCAGGCGAGAAAAGCGCTCATGATAAGAAATATCCCTTTGCCAGTGCGTTTTTAAGATGAATTTTTTTGCCCTGCGTTGAAGACTCTATTTTTGTTACACTACATATCGTACTGGGAGCCCATGCCTCGCTAGTATGGCCAACACATGATCTTACAAACGTGAGATATAGTAATTTCCTATGGCCTGTAGTGGACATAACACTATTGCGGCGCAAAAATGCGAGCATCCTATTGGCCTTAGCTAAGATGGTGTTAATGTGAGTATCCCATGTGAGGTCCGGCGAGATAGTCTCCCCGAGGTCTTTAACCTGAGTGACGTGTTCAAGTGAGTTGTTGTTGAACTTGTAATCTGAGCCAAATGGGTGGCGCTTACGTGTGACGGTTAGTTCCTTACATTTCGAGGTGTTAACTTTAGGTGCCAATTATCGCTCCAGCTATGCAGACTGTCCAGGTCCTTTTGGAGTGACCCACAATCTTGTAGACTCTTAATGATACTGGAACATTTTGAGTCATCAGCGGAGAGTGCGATACGATTCTGTATCACCGGCGGGAGATCGTTCACATAAACTAAAAACAGCAGGGGACCGAGGATACTGCCCTGAGGCATTCCTGATGGAACTGGAGAACGACTTGAAGTGAAACCGTGGACCAAGCACTGCTGACCGCGTCCACCTAGATAGAACCAGGGATCAAGGCGATCAGGGAGCTGCAGGACCCCCTGGACTACCGGGTCCACCCGGTTTCCCAGGAATACCGGCAACTAGTCCCTCCTTACATGCATGTCCAGCAATTTGTGATAAATTTTGTGTTGGTTTCAGTCCTAAATTAAACTACTGTAAAAAAGTCTCAAATCCCTGTGAAAAAAGCGCTTATGAAAGACAAGGAGAACATTATGCCAAAAAGAGTTTAATTATCACCAAATAGCCCAAAGCTGGCTTTGGTACCACAGCAGGCGAAGACAAATTTGTGCAGGTAATCAACGCATTTCGAGTGCAATTTGGAATAAATAAGCACGAGTAAATTTTTTCAAAGGTTAACAAAATTGCACGAGCCCGTAGGGGTTGTGCAATTTGTGGTCTTTGAAAAAATTTACGAGTGCTTATTTATTCCAAATTGCACGAGAAAAATCATGTGATTGCTTATTAATAATATTCATGAAAAAATTGTGAGATAGCTTTAAAATCACTTTGATAGGGAGTCAACACGCGTAGACTACGTGCAAAAATGAATTATTCAGATGCTGCAAATATCATCACACGTGCAGTCAAAACAACATTTTGCTCGATGTTTTTAAAGTTTGCAAGCTACAGATTAAAGAATTAAAGATTCTGGGTTATTACCTCCGAGTTTTCCTCTCTTCCAGAGAGTTTCTTCTTCCTCCTCTGATACTTGCCGAGCTTTGTTTGGGCGCTTACCATGGCCAGCCAAGCGAAGCTGTTTCGCGTTGTCCTCCAACACCTCTTTGGACGAACTAAATTCTCGGTCACGTACAATGGACAGGAGGCAGCCTTTGTTCTGTAAGTGTCTATCAAGCGATGCCATCATTACTTTAAGGCTTTCTGGTTCATAATCTTCACCTTTTTTATTGTTTACTTCGGCGTAGAAATGCTCGAGTGAAGTGTTAAGCTCAGCAGGCTCATAATTTTCTTTTTCATCAGTAACTTCTTTGTCTGCGCACCAATTCTTCCAAACTGAGAGCCAAAAACCAGTGCTTTTCGCAGTGCTTTCGTTTTTAGAGCAGTTTTTCAGCTCCTCTACAGTTGTTTCAGTCCCAAAAGCAAATGTGCTGCAAACGCCAACCATTGCAGTTTTTGCTCGAAATTAGTCCGGAGCGGATCCAAATTTTGCACCATTTAGATGGCGCATTTGATTGGCACTCTGTGAGTTCCTTTGTTTATTAGCCAATCACAGTGTCACGTTTGTTACTCTTTTCTGCACTAAATTACATTTTGAGTCTGCACTCAATTACCTTTATTCTGCACCGTGTTACCTAAACTTCATTTCTCTTAGCCAATCACATTCGAGAAATGTTTTCATGTATATTATTAACAAGTAAAACCAAGTGTTCAGGGACACCCGATAGCCGTCACACAAATACATGGCCATCCCCAAGTCCAGATGAAAGAATTGACTGCAAGGAAAACTCAAAATAACTCGAAAAGGAATAAGATTAGGCACATTAAACACAAGAAATTAAAACAGAGTTCATGTAACGTAAATATATTATAAACTACGGTAATATGTAGTGGTTTAGTCTTCTAGCTGAATTTATTTCTTCAATAAGTTTTTAATTAAGTCAAATCAATAAACCTGAATCCTTTTTTCACCAGTCACTATGTAGTTTGTTGACGAGACTATCCGGCAAACTTGATAAAGCATGATGGGACTTGTTTTATATGCTGATACTAAATTCCGGTGTATAAAGCTACCCTGGGGCTGGCCGTTTTACCTGTGAGGGGGAGTGGGTGCCCGCCATTTTGCTTCGTTAGCTACACAAATGGATCAACTTTCAGGATTGACATGAAAAATCGACTCACGTGTTTGGTTTTCCGCCGCTCGATTATTCTCTCTGCCTCGTACATCTTCCTTCTTTTGGATTTTCTGTTGGATCGACGTGAAATATTATGAATCTGTGCGTAATCTACGAGGAAAGCACGCTTTTTGGCCGCCATATTAAATTCTCTATTGTTAAGAAGAAAGCCGCATGCCACAGCGCGGGCTCAAATGTCCGTGATTTCTGTCCATGGGATCATTAATAGTTTCAAAATCTTGATTGATTTTGGGTGGTCCTTTTCAGATAAGGCAGCGTTACCTGGAGGGCCATTTTAATAAATTTCATGAAAGTAATACAAAGGCAGTAGCAAAATTGAAATTAAATTCAGCAGCCGCGAATGGTATACGCCGATCTTAAAAACACTACTGCAGATAAACTACAGTCGAACCTCCTGTAAGCGACCACCCAAAATGCAAAGACTTAGTGGAAACTTGCGGGAGCTGGTCGCTTACAAGAATCGAACCTTAGGGGGCCTCATCCGAGAAGAGGTCCTGGCATATCTACCTTATGGAAGATAATTTATTGCGCCATGTGTAGTTCCATGTTGTCACTAAAATTCTTTGTACATTCCAAGCAACACAGTGCACACAGCGAGCAAAAAGACCAGAGAATGCGTCAAGTGGTCGCTTAAAAGAGGTTAAGAAAATCATTAAGCTTTCAGGCCCAAAAGGTGGTCGCGGTCGCTTACATTTTGGTGTTTTGGATTGGCGGTCGTTATGAGAGGTGGTCGCTTAATACGAGAGGTGGTCGCTCATGGAGGTTCGACTGTATGTGTTGAACTTCGACAAGATTTGTAGCTAGAATTTCGTAGTTTCCACAGCAATGGGGGTCATTTATACAAAGCTAGGATGAAATGTGGAGGTCGGTTTAAAATATTTTTAAGCTTTCGCAAATAGCCGGCTGCCCTCACAAGTAGTAAGCGACCAGTCCCCTCGAAACCTCTAAATTCTAATGTCTGGGTCGCAGGAAGCCTCTTTAATAATATGATTAACGGGTTTATCATATCATATGACATTAGATCGGTAGATGTGCTTGTAAATGAAAATTTAAAATGGAAAAACCTCGAAACCAGTCGCTCACTTGTCAAGGCTACCTAATGTACAAAATCTGCAATGGTGAATCTAGTGTCCGGCCATCTAACAGCCCCTTACAAAACTCAATGATAGTAGCACCAAACGTAATCTTAGGAATCTTGAAACTGATCTAGCACTTCCAAGGCCAAAAACGAATTTCCTCAAACGTAGTTTTAAGTATAGTGGTGCAATGTGCTGGAACAATCTTTCTTACGAGGCAAATCAGCACAATCGCTTTCCGAATTTAAACACTGTTAAAGGCAAACTTGCGTCTTCGCCTTCTGCTGGATCGCTCAGACTCCTTAATTTGTGTGTAAATATTTTAAAACCTATGTTTATTATTCTCCAAAACTCCCACCAACATATATTGTAAAACTAGCTGCATTTTGTAAATATTTACAAAATAAATTATCCTCTAAAAATTTGTCACATTTTGCATCCCCGTAGTGAACACCAAATTGCTTCTGTAATGCATGTTTGCCTACGTGCCGGCCTGGGAATCAGCTTTTGTTGTATGTGGTGAGCGGAGTGTCGTCAACGAAGCTTACTGTAAGTAAACCCCGTTTATAATGAGCATATCATTCATGCACATCCTTCAGTGGACATCAGTTTCACTTCACAGTCGCCATTTCCGACAAACTGAGAAACGGATGACTGTTGCTTAAAGATTAGCTCCAGAATGAAAGGGCTCGGATATTCCTCGTCACATAGTCCCAGAATTAGGTACTTCTCATAGGGAATGGACTGCCAAAATTCTGTTTTGCTGCTCAAGTATCACTTCACGGGATGTCGAAGCAAAAAAGAAGAGAGGAGAGAAAATAGTTTAATAACAGCTACTCTCTTTATTGCGATATAATTTACGGCTACACTGGTTACATGGTTGTCCTAAATTCTACTGGGCTGGCTTTCTTCGGGTTTAATTTCAGTTATTTCCTGCCAGCATCACCACCTTTTTCACATGGAATCTTTCAACCTCGTCCTCAGGAGGTTGGGAGTCTTCGCCAGGCGTTTCCCATGAAGTTATGTGCTGCTTAACGCAGTCAGTACCCAGGGGGGGTTTGGGTTACTTCCTTATAAGAGGCTGATCGGATGTGCCGCTGGATGCGGTCGCACATTTTCCGAATTTTTAGGGGAGTGACATTAGTTTTTCATATTTACGGTTAGCACACGTACCGGAATGTTTGCACTGTAGGAGAAAAGTAAAGCGTTCTTTATTCAATCTAAAACATGGGTCAATCCATAAAAAACAGAAAGTGACTAGTTAGTTGGGATCGCGAAAATTACATATTTGCCCAAAAGTGACTAAGATGAGGTCTGTATTATTGGCCACAGAATGAACTACTATAATGGGGTAGGGGCTCTGAGAGGCCAGCGGCACACACCCAGCAAAAATTAACCCAATTCCCCCCAGTATCGTGCCCTTTGATTAATTGACTATTAGCTTTGGCAATCACTCGATACTGTTCGATGTTAACATGTCGTGTTGGCTGCATTGGTATAATTATGCATATCGGCTCCATGGAACTGCAAACAGACGGCCAGCGGTCAAGATCCTCTCATTTTTCACTTGCTTATTCATTACCGTGGCGGAGAATAAGTGACTAGTGTAATAAATATTAACGGTAGCACCATGTCTTTAAAAATCCAGTTCATTTCTTTCTATGGAATGCGATACAACTTTAACGTTACAAGTAAAAAATACTTTAAAAATAGGGAAATTACCTTAAATTGATAAAGAATTACGTCATACAATAAATAAAAACCCATTTTTTTCTGTCACATTAACTTATCATAAATTATTATAAGTGGAAAAGGAACAGTTTCGGTTTAATGGGGAGTTAACACGAGTTACATTCAAGGTTCCAGTACAGTCGCGAGTAAGACACATGAAACTTCCACCTTGTTTGTAGTAAAACACACGATAACGTGCTTTCTTACTCTTGATATCTTGTACTTCATAATTAAACCAAACTACTTTATTGACATTATCTTTACTGTGGCAGGAGACATTCTGAAAAAGCAAAAGATCGACGGTATATCTTCTATTTTTAACAATTCAATGATGAAGTTATTACTACTGACGATTATTATCAATTACGATAGACACATAAGTATCAGAAAGGGATTCTTAGGTATGCTCTTCCAGCAAGACTTTTTACCCACGAATCCGATTGAATGCCTCTTGGGTTTTAAATAGAGCACTTTTACATGACGATACGTCCGCCATATTAGTGTCCCAAATTAAAAAGCAATAGAAAGGCGGCATTGTTGGTTTTCCTAACCATTACCGTGGGAGTTGAAACTTTTCATGTAAAAACGTCCTTTTGTTCCAATAACTTTGCATAGGCGTAGGCCATATGAGTGAATAGGCTCTACAGAATTTAGAGTAGCATAACTAAAAATACAAATAGCATTCATCCGATAACCATTTACACAGTACCTCAAAGTATCCCATGCCACTACAGCCAATCCGAAAGCAAGAAATTCACTGCATCTATTGCGGTAGTGCAAAGGGTAGTACTTCCGAAAAAAGTCCCGGCGATTCTCGGGGCATTACATTTTCCCGCCGAGAACTCTCCTTAAAGGTACCTGTGAACAACTTTTGAGAGCCAACGACTTTAAACCGCGTTCTAACTTTTCTCAAATAACAGACTCATAGATCATTTTGCCATGTGTGGTGTCATCGATTAGTTGTGAATCGTGAGAGAAATCAAAATGCTAATGATCTTATAGTAAGCTGACGCACGTTCCTACGGCAGGGCTTTGCTATCGTTTTTGCTCTCGCCACATTTTGACGTCGAAGTTGTGATAACTAACTAAAAAGACACTCACCGGCAAAATTGAACCTACTTATCAAATCTGTTGGGGTATAAGATAATCGGACAGTCTATTTTCGAAAAGGATTTTTCGGTTTCAAAACTGTAAGCCTGCAGAGGGAGTTTCTTTAGTGTTTTCACTCACCACGAAGCTGACTTTGTTTCCTTGTACCATAAGTGAATAAGTGTTGTTGAAAGTGATGCAACTCTTTTTTCCCCTTTTCACCAACCTAAAATCTGCAGAAACATAACATGCCTTTTAGAAAATCGCACATTTTATTTTTCTGTCAAGTGGTGACACATTTCTGATCAAACCAGAGAGAGAAAAGGGAATAATAGGAGACAAATTTTCAGTTAATCAAAATTAGGTAAAAAGAAGAATAACATTGCAAAATTAAATATTTCTAGGAGGAGTGAAAACGATTTTTCCGCGGGTGGGGAGCGGGGTGTATCGAAAATCACGTTGTATCGCCAATAACATATAGAAATTAGCCAAACCACATGGTCCCCGCAGTCGTGCGATTGCCTTTGGTAATAAAATACGGCTAAATTTTCGGCTTGTAGAAATTTTTTCCATCTTAAAACGATTTCGAGATGGAAAGTGACTGACGGCAGTCGAATCGATATCACTTCTGATGAAACTCGCCAACTTGCCTGTTCTTGAATCCGTCTCTTTTCGGCACGAATTGATCGTCCGTTAGTAATAAAATATAAATTTTTCTGCTTGTAAATTTTTTCCGTTATTAAATAATTTTGAGATGGAAAGTGACTGAGAGCAGTAGAACACATCAAGATACCCGCCAACTTACGTGTGTTTCGATTGCTTCTCGTGTCGCCATTCGCCATCGCTGAGCATTCCCTTCGAGAGTTTTTATTTTCACACTTGGCCATGTTAATTCTCATATAACGGTCCTTATTATTAGTGCACCCAGAACCGTCGTCATCTATATAACTAAAACTCCGTGAGCGAGTGTATACTTCCACAGTAAACAAAAAGAGGAAAACAGTCTGGCGACAAAGAAAGCAGATAAGATAAGTTGAAACAAAAATCGAACAAAATTCGAAAATAGTTTACCCTCAAACTCAAAATACAGTCAAACCTCTATGTGTGACTACCCTTCGTAAGATCTCGTAAGCGACTGCCTCCCATAAGAAGCAACCACCTGCCTAGAAAACCTTTTTATCCCAGTCAATCCTCAATCAGTAAGAACCTCTCGTAAGCGACTTTGACCACTTTTTGGTTAGATGTTTTTATTGTTTCCCATTATATTTAACCTCCTGTAAGCCAAGTACTACGACGCTCAACGAAGAACTTATGGAGTGTCAAAACAAAATTACACGTATACGTAACTTACTGAATTGCAAGCAATAAATTCTACGGCAAAAAGTGGTTCGATTCTGAGAACTTAAAAAGTGTCAAAACAAAATTACATGCATAAGTGCCTTAGAAATTGCAAGCAATAAATTCTACGGCAAAAAGTGATTCGATTATTGTAAGCGACGACCTCCGTTTCCGTAAAGGTTGATATCCACTGTCGCGTAATTTTACCCGCGTAAATAAAATAGAGGCAATGTGTGGACTTTCACGCGTGAGCGTGAAAGTTGAGCGAGGTTCAACTTTTACGCTTACTTTTGGCCTTTCATACATTGCCTCTATCTCATTTACGCACCTAAATTTTACATGCATGCGCACGGAAAAACTACGCGACAGGGGAAATCAACCCTAAGTGACCCGCCCTAAACCTTTGCATTTTCGGAGGTTCGACTGCATATAAAAAGAGAAATGCTTTTTTTTAAGTTGTAAGCTCTGAATAAAGCACTGCCTGCAAGCCCCGTCCGTAAAACTAATTTCACAAAACTCGGACCCCAGAATTATGAAATTCCAACTTAGAACTGAGGTAGCATGCGGCTAAATAAATTGGCCCTTTTTTGATATACTCACTGCAAAAAAACCTCTTAAATCCATTTTCTTCTGTTAACCACGACTTTCAGTTCTACTTCAAACTCTTTTGGATGACTACTCGATTAAGATAAAAGCTCGACACCAACAATTTTATTTTTATAGTCTAACCATGATGTTTTAGTACAATTGTATCATATTTGAAGAATTCAATGCCCCTAAGCTTGTAAAATTTTGAATTCTTGATTAACATACTAAGAAATTCTTTTGCAATTAACGCTGTTTAAACAAATAAAAGGTTTGAATGTTAATACAGTTTGAAGGTCCGAAATTAGCGGAAGTATCCTTTTGAGTGATGTAATGATCGCGATGGTATTTAACTCTTCCTTAGCCACTTGGTATCCGCCTTAGCGGCAAAAATGAGTTTTATTTTATGCCATTAATCCGGCAAGAATTACCCGACCGGTCAAGTTTCAGGGATGCTTCTTTTACTACTTCCCTTTGAGAGCACTGTCGAGAAAAATTTGTGGTCAAAGGTCTCTTTCCGCTTGTATTGCTTATCCACTTGTATGACTATCGAAGCGTGAGGCATAAGAAATCATTTTTCTGGACCGATGTTCATCTATCGTGTAAACGGAGGGTTAAGTTGTCACAGTCTGACTGAATTCGCGATCATGGCTTTGATGATTTTATATTGAGAAAACCGTTGGTAATTCATTTCAATGGTATTTATGAAGAATATTCTTAAATATCAGTTTTAACGACATGAAATATATTATTCATCGTGAATAATGTGTATAAAGGGTTTCGTTCTGATTGTTTGGCTCACGACCGTCACATAGATATTGATCGCGACGAACCGCAGTACACGGTCGAAACGTGGCGATCATTATCTATGTAACAATCGTTAGACAAAAGATTAACGAAACCCTGAACCCTTCATATATCAGTTACTCAAACTTAATTACTCCATCACCCACATTTAGTCTATATGAGGTAACATAATGTTGCCTTAGAGATCTCAAGCATAGGCCGAGTAAGTGGTAAAACAAACGAATGCCCTGAAATGCACTCATCACTAGCAAATTCAGTTAACCGAACGTTGCCTAAGGAAGTTCAAAATCAGTAACTATCGAGATCTTGTCTCATTTGGAATTTAAAACCAAAACCCGCGAACTTGACTGATCTTTCAGTGTTATTAATTGATCGTTACAATTACTCGGAATGCTTTCTTTGTAAAATCTTAATTATTTATTATTTTTATATTTTAGTTTATTTATCATATTTGTCCACATCAGCTGTATAAGCTGCCATTATTGACCTGCTAACCAAGTAAACCATGTATGTATGTATGTAGTTATCATTATCATAGATACATTTAAATAAACGTTGAATTACCTAACCTGTGGTATATTGTCGTCCTTTTGCCTCAAAAGCGGTTTTTTGAGCTATTTTGAAGGATTTTTAGTTTGCCGTTTACTGTTCGGCTCATAGGCGTACGGGCAATTTTTTGCTAGGGGGGGCAGTAAACCATTTGCCCAAAAAATTCTTGTAAGTTGCCCAAATTTTTACGAAACAGTCGAACAGAAACGAGGGCCATACGATGCAACAACATAGGCCGTACTAGCATATGAAGGTGGCTCGATACAGTTTTTCAGGGTCAATACCATGAAGTTTTTTTGAGCATAGACTACGCCACCATAAACAAACATTTGGAAAAATTACCACCACAGTTGTATTAGATAAAGATGAAAATTTGTTATGATCCGGGTTGCAATAACATCGGAGTTGTCATAGCAACAAAATGACGCCATTACCTATTATACTTGCAGCAACATTTCTCACTGGGAACTGCTCCAAAATCGTTCACGGGAGCATTTTCCTCTGTAACAGCGTTGCGGAGATATTTTGGGATAAAGTTTTCATCGTTAGAAATACGGTAAAAAAAGGAAAATCTTGATGTTTGTCCGTTATCTGTAGAAAATGAAGCGCTTTTGACATGCAATTTCACCTCACAGTAGTTTCAATCTTTTGAAAAACGTGAGTGAAAGATCATGGAGATAGCTCTGGCCAATTGCTACAAAAAAGGATTTGATTAGTATGTATGATGGCGCTCTTGTTAGCGGTTTTGTAAACATTTCGGTCTACTTTAACAAATTAGTGAATAATTTTTAAACCACTCGATAGATTTTTTTTAAGAAAATCAAGATTCTTCGCGTAATTCAAACTGAGAATTAGTCAGCCACTTCTTCACTTTCAGACCCATTGCTGCTGCTATCTGCCATACACTGTTCTACGAGCGGAGATGATTCTAGAAAGTTAGGCGGAAGTTTATTCTAATCAATTCACCACTGGAAATAGCCCATTGCAGCACAGTGCCCAACAATAAAAAAAAAAAATCAGCACATGATACCCTTCCCTTATAACCAGAAACTCATTACGTGCTAGGCAACCAGTCTCGTGTGAATGTAACAGTACTGGATTATTACGCCAATTTCAGGTTAAAATAGAAAATATTTATCTCTTCAAAATAATGATTTAAAACCACAGAAACGTCTTAAAAAACTGGGTTTGCCCAAATTTTCTCTCGCTGCCCAAAAAATCTGAGTTGCCCAAAATTTGGGGGGGCTGCAGCCCCCCTCGCCCCCTCGGCCCGTAGGCCTATGGTTCGGCTTATAATAGAAGGAACCGGTAAACGGCAGACTCAAAATCCTTCAAAATCGCTCAAAAAACCGCTTTCAGTCAAGCAAAAGGACGACAATACACCACAGGTTAGGTAATTCAACGTTTATTTAACATTGATTTATATACCTTGCAAAGGAGCGTATAATTTGACGTTGCTAATTCTCTCAGTTGAAGGCCACTGAATTCTTCAGTATAAAATAAGACGAAGCATACCCTACAGAATCATTACTCACTACTCACTACAAGTTTCTTTCACAAAAAAGGCGCCTGAAAAATTGATACAATTTCTGGAATTTTTTCAGGCTAGGTTTATTCGTACAACATAAAAGTTAACCGACTTTCTTTCCCTTAACAAACTAGCTGTAGTTTTGTTTTGCAAACGCAGGATGGTGAAACGCCCCGGGAAAACATTTGTACGAACTAATTAACCTATCACTGGAAGTTCTTATAGCCATGAAATGTGCTAATAGCAGTATCCTTATTTAACCTGGCCGGTGAAATTTGTCGATTTATTTATTGCATTTCCTAAACCTGCATCAAATATAATCGATTTTTACCTGACACTATTGAAACTAATTTATCTTATCGTGCTTAGGTCATTGCATCACTGCCTATGAACAGACCGGCAAAATTTGATTTAACTCAGCCCACCCTTCACTCAGTCTTCCCACGAGGGCGGACGCCTGTTGCAAGAGACACTTAGTAACGGTCTACCAACCACACACTAACACTGCATTATAATTTTATATGATATCCCAGCTCTTGATTTTTTCCAACAAACCTAACTGAAACTACTTCGGCTGAATTAAAAGACGTTCTTTTAATTTTCTCCTTGTAGACTGAAGCGACAGACAGCCTGAAGCGACATAAAACATATTAATTGTACAAATTGCAATGGTCCTTGTAAAGGTGGGTATTGGTTTATCATATGCCTTCTAGCTGGCTCCCTGCAAACGAAGGACCTCATCCGACTAATAACCGCTTTTATCTATGCGAATTTCGCAATGTTTTCTTTTAAATCACCATCGTATTTTAATTTGTTATTCAGTACTGAGAGTTGCAAAGTGCTGAATTTACGGGGGCCGTTGTCTCCATCGAGCTCTGGATGAAAATTAATGAAGTTAGGCGTACCGTCCCTAGCTTTAAGTTGCTTAAAGACTCCAAAGTTTATGATATACTTATCCGCAAATCGTCTACGGTTGTTTTGCGATTGTTATCAACTACAGTCATTGGAAAAGAACACTGTGTTTTCAATACAAAAAGGCGTCTATACCCAGTGCACTTCTTTATGTGGACTTTTTATGTACAAAAAAAGGGAAATCTTTGAACCGCATAGATTGGAAATTTTGAAGTTATGGTTACACACACAGGTTGTGTGAGCTCCCTTTGGTTTGTGCCGCCTTGCTCTCCAAATCGTGACCCTATCCACTTCGAATTCGTATATTACTCTTCCTTTCTCAGTATTCATTTCGGAACTGAAATAACAAATACGTTCATACACTCCCGTAGTTCCATCGAAAACGATACCCGATTCCAGACCAAAATGGGCAAAATGTAGACCCGTTTTCAGACCAAAACGGCTAAAAAATATATATTTCGTTCGGGGCGGCACATACCTATATGGCTTATATAAGGGAGTTCCCCCCCGGGACATTTACAGTAGAGGAACTTTACATAAGAATGCTTTCTAGCACTTCAATGACTTATCATTCTGTATTCGTTTATTATGCTACACATATACTATATACAAGTACCTGTAAAGTTAAACTGTTGATTTTGTGATTAATATTTTACTATAATGACTATAACTCTTTAATAACTGAATTTCTAATTCTTAAGTTGAACGTTAAACAAACGTTGAGTATGTGATCTTAGTCTTCCAAACACCTAAACTCCAGTGGATTATTATACAATCGAATCATGTTACATTGCTTTTGGCGATCTAGCAGATCAAGGTTAATTTTAGTTTCTTCTTCATCAGACAAACTTCTTGTGCGTTGGCGTAGCTTGGCACTGTTTACATTTAGTATTGGGTATTATAAAAGCAAATTAGCAAGAATTAGTTCAGCTTGAATTCGCCTGTGTAGCAAGCGTTTCCAATCGCGAAAGTTGAAACGACAGCTGCAATAGGTATGGAGGATCTTTTTTGCTCGCTTGCTTCGCAGGCTAAAATTCAGCTGTTCAGCTAAATTGCTGGTTTATACGGCCGTTTGTCATTCTGGCTTGCGTGGGTGAGTGAGTCCTCATAGAAATGTAAAACGCAGTACGTACGCGGATGATTCGTAATTCAGTGTACTTCAGTGCTTTGTAAAATTAAGGTTACGTAGATATGAAATTCTTTCGCAATGGCTAATAAATTAAAAAAAATCACAAAGTTAAGCAAATGGATAATCATTTGAGAGCTCTCCGCTGGTCTTTTTATGAAAGTCTTCATATGTCTTCCTATGAAATGAAATTAAATGCCTTCCTATGACAGCTTTGTTAATTTGACCGAATACAGTTAGATCTTCAAGTTTCTAGTGGGCAAACCGGTCAGTTCACTGTTTAAAAATGGTAAGCAAATTTTACAAAACGTAAATTTCCCTCCGGCCATTTTCACAAACCAGTTCCATCTGTGGGAAAACGGCTGCGAAAGCCTGAAACCGGCATGGTATCAAATATGACTTTTTCAACAGAACACGAATTTCCGTCAGGAAAAACAGAATTACTTTTTCAGATATTCTCTTGCTCCTGGAAATTTTCCACTGGAATGACCCAAAAAGTCGTGTTCAACTTACTTTCCGACCGGATTTTCCGGAAACGTTTTGGTATTTATGTGAATTAGTCATTGTCAATATCAGATTCATTTCATCATTCTAGTATCCGGAATGAGTAGTTAATTAACACAGTCACTAGGCTAGTTAAAATTTCTGTCATCTTATGCAGAATGCAGATTTGAATCGTCTAACGACTTAACTGCCTCGATTTCTAAATAATTAGTTGTCTGAAACAGTGTTTCAGATTACCCATTATATAGAAATAGAGGCAGTTTAATAGTCTTCTGCATTCTACATACACTAGAGAGCCCGTTGGGAGATTGGGGAAGAGACGAATTACATTTCAGACTTAATAATCTGTCAACCGCCTGCTCCTGAATCAGTCCTTTTATAGAATCCTGGCTTAGCGTGACTGCAAATCATGTCAGAGTCCTTCGAGCATTGAATAATCAATGAAACAAGTAATTTAAAACTGTTTCAAAAGAGTTCTCATTTGGCGGTTTAAATCAGAGAGTTTTTAAACGAAGCCGAAAGAGAACCGATTGAAACTGAAACTGAAACTGAAACTGATAATATAGATCCCGAAAAGACTTTTTCCAAATAGAAGAAATGGTATATTTTTCTTTCAACTTCGTTTCCTCAACTGTGCTTTTAAAAAGACCTTTCAAATCACATTCCATAGGGGTATTACCCTTTTTCACTCCTTCCTCCTTGGTTGTCTCTTAATCATTATTTTAGTGAGATAGAGGATTTTGAAATTAAAAGACAATATTCTAGCTAATAAGGCCCTAAGTCTTACGATAGAGTCACCCCACGTAAAAGAATCCGGAAAATTTTTGTTCGTGAAATGCAAAATACCGGCGAAAATTTTTGCTTGTAGAATCCAGAATACAGCTCAGGAAATTCAGAATCCTGTTAAAGATTGAAATCCAGAATCCATGTTCCACTGAAAAGGACTGGAATCAGGAATCCACGACGTGCAATCTAGAATCCAAGACTGTCTTGGATTCGCTTACACGGGGCGAAATCGAGGCCTTAGTAGCGCGAACAGTCGTGGAGTTGTTAGTGGAACGAAGCCGATTCTCGACAAGACTAATCTATACTGATCATCGACAGTTGGTGTCGAGAACTTGAATCACTAACGGCAAGATGGAGGGTCTCAATGGGGTGGTGGCATTTACGGTTATCGGCTAAAATTTTGGCTCTTTTACGGCTATCGGCTAATTTTTTTCAGTTACGGTTGACAAAAAAAGTTAAAAATTAACTTCTTTTGTTTCAAAAAGTTAAATATTAATTAACCTGTATTTTTTGTACCTTTAAAGCAAAATAAAGGTCTTAAGATCATCTCGGGATGTGAAATAAGCTATTCTTTTGAAAAATTTTAACATTTGATAGATCATACTTTTTATAAAGTATTCCATTTTTAATATTATTTTACACATAGAAATGTCAATAGTCAATTTAAAAATAATCTTTGTGAAAAAGCAAAGCACACACGTGAACGCCCAACTCAAGGTCGGGACGCAACATTCATTACAACAGAAATGGCCGTTTTCACACTGGAGACGGATTTTTCGTGTGAGACGGGTTATCCGTTTGATGATCCGCGTCAGACAGGTAATACGTCTTAATTTGAAAATGGAATCGTTTTAATTTTGAATGAACAATCCGCCTGACTTTATCCTTTAATTTCGACGGACAGTTTGAAGACGGGATCATCCGTTCCAGATAGCCTGTGTACAGCCGCCCTCTCCCCTCAAAAAAAAATCGGAGAAGGAGGTCCGTTGGGAAGGGGGCGGCTGTACACAGGCTAGTCTCAGACGGATAATCCGTTTCTAGCTCCAGTGTGAAAACGGCCAATAACAAAATTCACGTGTCCAGTGTTTTTAATGATAGCGAAGGACTGTACGGAACCACTGTCAGCCGTTGCCTTGTCCGTAGGCCTCATTATTTCGCGCGGCTAATGCGTTTCGGGTCACATGGTCCAAGCGAGTTCGCCACCGAAATGCCTTGACCGAGATTGCGTGGGAAGACGCCGTACAGAGACTAGGCATGGCAATGTCTACCGTAGCGTCAGAGAAAAACAGGGAAATGTTGTTTATCGGCAACTTGTTTTACAACAGTGACATCTCTGCGTGTTGTTTCACTAGTGTTTCGAGGGCACGACCTCCTGAAAATCGCAAATATTAATCCCCATCAAGAAGCCACACTTTCGCTATGGAAAAAAAATTAGTTCCCCGAGGGAGCGGCGGAAATGGAAGCAGGGTCTTGGTCAACACCTAAAAGACGATTTACCTAACACGCGTACGGAACCACAGTAGCAGGGAAATAAAAAACGCAACCATAAGTGAGTTTAGTACCTTCCTTAAAAGTAGCAAACCTAGGGAACAATTTCTTTTACGGTTAACTCTTTTTACCCTATTTACGGCTAACGGTTAAAATTTTTCAATTTTTACGGCTATCGACTAAATTTTTGGCCGTTTTACGACTATCGGTAAGATGGTGTTACGGTTACTCTGACCTTGCCTCGTCCCTAGGCCTCATTATTATGCGCGGCCGATGCGTTTCGGATCACGTGGTCCGAGAAAGTTTTTGAGGCCTAGACAAACTCGGTGATCTCACTTGGGGCGGAGTTTTTGGAAGCGGGCGAGCTGTCAGTAACTTTTCCGCGCTGATGAAAGATGTCCAGCAGCCATGGAGAGTAGAGAGGATAAAGAGGTTAACCGAGCATTTTTACTCTCTGTACGTTTTCATTGTTGAAAGCCCTTTCGCCTTTCTTTTTCATTTATCTCATTAAACTAATTTGAACTTGATTTCATCTCTAAAACTATTTGTAGGCTAAGCAAAACAGCGTCGCCAAAAATTATTTGATCAAGGATCGGATGGTAAGCTAGATGGTAAGTTTATATTTATTCTTGGATATGAAAAGCTATCTTTCGTTTCTCTATTTTCGCTTGCTCCTATAAATTTCTCGTTATCAGTTTCACTTCGAAATGTTTTATGTAATTTAATTTTTGGATTTGGAAGCTTATCAAACTAATCGGACAGGCTGTTGAATTTGGTCGCTCACTTGTCAAGGCTACCTAATGTACAAAATCTTCAATGATCAATCTGTCCGGCCATCAAACAGCCCTTTACAAAACTCAATGATAGTAGCATCAACCGTAATCTTAGGAATCTTGAAACTGATCTAGCACTTCCAAGGCCAAAAACGAATTTCCTCAAACGTAGTTTTAAGTATAGTGGTGCAATGCACTGGAACAATCTTTCTAACGACGCAAATCAGTACAATCGCTTTCCGAATTTAAACACTGTTAAAGACAAACTTGCGTCTTTGCCCTCTGTTGGATCGCTCAGACTCCTTAATTTGTGTTTATTATTCTCCAAAACTCGCACCAACATATATTGTAAAACTAGCTGCATTGTGTAAATTTTTACGAAATAAATTATTCTCTAAAAATTTGTCACATTTTGCATCCCCACGGAACACCAAATTGCCTCTGTATTGCGTGTTTGCCTACGCGCCGCCCTGGAAATCAGCTTTTGTTGCATGTGGCGAGCGGGGTGTCGTCAACGAACATATCATTCATGCACATCCTTCAGTGGACTTCAGCCGTTTCAATTCACTGTCACCATTTCCGACAAACTGAGACACGGATGACTGTTGCTTAATGATTAGCTCCAGAATGAAAGGGCGCGGATATTCGTCGTCACACAGTTGCAGAATTAGGTATTACTTATAGGGAATGGACCGCCATTAAAATTCTGTTTTGCTGCTCAAGTATCACTTCACGGGATGTCAAGAAAAGGTAAGCAAAAAAGAAGAGAGGAGAGAAAATAGTTTAATAATAACTGCTCTCTTTATTGCAATATAATTTACAGCTACACTGGTTACATGGTTGTCCTAAATTCTACTTTAATTATTTACAGGTTAAACAATGCAGCTGAGAACGCTACAGGCCTGGCTTTCTTCGGGTTTAATTTTAGTTTTTTGCGGCCAGCATCACCACCTTTTTCACATAGAATCTTTCAACCTCGTCCTCAGGAGGTTGGGAGTCTTCGGCAGGCGTTTCCCATGAAGTTGTACTATTTAACGCAGTCAGTACCGGGGGATGTGCCGTTGGATGATGGGATGTGCCGTTGGATGCAGTCGCATTTTCACGACTGGATTGACTATAATGGGGTCGCACATTTTCCGATTTTTAAGGGTAAGACACTAGTTTTTCATATTTACGGTTAGCAAACGTACCAGAATGTTTGCACTGTAGAAGAAAAGTAAAGTGTTCTTCATTCAATCTAAAACATGGGTCAATTCATAAAAATAGAAAGTGACTAATTAGTTGGGAAGGCGAAAATTGCATATTTGCCCCAAAGTGACTAATATGGGGTCTGTATAATTGGCCACGGAGTAAACTACTATAATGGGCTAGTGGCTCTGAGAGGCCAGCGGCACACACCCATGCAAAAATTAACCCAAGTACCCCCCCCCCGCCCCCCAGTATCGTGCCCTTTGATTAATTGACTATTAGCTTTGGCGATTACTCGATACTGTTCGATGTTAGCATGTCGTGCTGGCTGCATTGGCATAATTATGCATATCAGCTGACTGCAAACAGACGGCCAGCGGTCAAGATCCTCTCATTTTTAACTTGGTTAGTCATTAACCGTGGCGGAGAATCTGGTAATGTGCACTGCGAATGTTAGTGACTAACGGTAAGAAATATTAACGGTAGCACCATAGCTTTAAAAATCTAGTTCATTTCTTCCTATGGAATGCCATACAACTTTAACGTTACAAGTAAAAACCCCATTCTGTTCTGTTACATTAACTTATCATCAATTATTATAAGGAGAAAAGAAACATTTTCGGTCTTTTAATGAGTTAACACTAGTTACATTCAAGGTTCCAGTACAGTCGCGAGTAAGACACATGAAACTTCCACCTTGTTTGTAGTAAAACACATCACAATAACGTGTATAGTCACTGATGATTTCTTCTTTTTTATAATTAAACCAAACTTTATTGACATTATCTTTGCTATGGCAGGAAACATTCTGAAAAAGCAAAAAAGATCGACTGTATCTTCTATATGTAACAATTCAATGGTGAAATTATTACTAGTGACGATTATTATCAATTGAGAGGGATTCTTAGGAATGCTCTTCCAGCAATACTTTTCACCCAAGAATCCGATTGAATGTCTCTTGGGTTTTAAAAAGAGCACTTTTACATGACAACACGTCCGCCATATTAGTGTCCCAAAAGCAATAGAAAGGCGGCATTGTTGGTTTTCCTAACCATTACCGCGGGAGTTGAAACTTTTTCCTATGTAAAAACGTCCTTTTGTTGCAATAACTTTGCATAGGTGTAGGCCATATGAGTGAAAAGGCTTCACAGAATTTAGAGTAACATAACTAAAAATATAAATAGCATTCATCCGATAACCATTTATACAGTACCTCAAAGTATCCCATGCCACTACAGCCAATCCGAAAGCAAGAAATTCACTGCATCTATTGTGGTAGTGCAACGGGTAGTACTTCCGAAAAAAGTCCCGGCCATTCTCGGGGCATCACATTTTCCCGCCTAGAACTCTCCTTAAAAGTACTTGTGAACGACTTTTGAGAGCCAACGACTTTAAACCGCGTTCTAACTTTTCTAAAATAACAGACTCATAGATCATTTTGCCATGTGTGGTGTCATCGATTACCTGCTAATGATCTTATGGTAAGCTGACGCACGTTCCTACGGCAGGGCTTTGCTATCGTTTTGCTCTCGCCACATTTTGACGTCGAAGTTGTGATAACTAACTAAAAAGACACTCACCGGCAAAATTGAACCTACTTATCAAATCTATTGCGGTATAAGATAATCGGACAGTCTATTTTCGAAAAGGATTTTTCGGTTTCAAAACTGTAAGCTTGCAGAGGGAGTTTCTTTAGTGTTTTCACTCACCAGGAAGCTTACTTTGTTTCCTTGTACCGTAAGTGAATAGGTGTTGTTGAAAGAGATGCATTTCAGCTTATTCCGTCTAGATCTAACGTGTAGTTACAGAGTTAAGTATTAATTATAGGGAATGGACCACCAAAATTCTGTTTTGCTGCTCAAGTATCACTTAGGGATTTCAAGAAAAAGGAAAGCAAAAAATAAGAGAGTAGAGAAAATAACTTAAGGACAACTGCTCTCTTTATTGCAATATAATTTAAGGCTACACTGGTTACATGGTTGTCCTATTTTCTACTTAAATTATTTAGAGGTTAAACAATGCAGCTGGCAACATTTTTTCCGGCCAACATCACCATCTTTTTCCGGACATGAAATCTTCCAACCTCGTCCACATTCAGTTCTGTCGTATTAACTTATCATCTAATAATTCTCTGTCTAAAGAAGCATTTTCGGTCAGTTGTTGAGTTAACTTTCTCTACAGACAAGGTTCCATTACAACTGCGAGTAAGACACATCGTACTACCTGGTATAAAAAACCCAAGATAACTCCCTGAGTCATCGGGCAACTTCTTAAATTTAAACCAAACGTTATTGCCTCCTTTTTCACAGGAAACATTCTGTGAAAGCAACAGATAAAAAAATTAATTATTATTATTATTGTTATTATTATTATTATTTATTTATTTATTTATTTGTTCATTTATTTTTTACGATAGACTCTTACAATAAGCCAGAAAATTACAAAAAGTAATTCAAGAATACAGTCGACTCCTGATAACTCGAACCTCCCGCTACCTCGAAGTAATTTTTGTTTCCCCTCGGATCATTCTATACAATTATTTCACCCTCGCTAACTCCAACCATGGATTTAAGCGCGTGACAAGGCGAAAAAAAGCAGTTAACTGCATTTCAAAACATTGAATTTATTTCAAAACAACCGTGTATTCTTTATCTTTACTTTTTATTTAGTCCAATTTAAATATAATGTTTATCCCTGTACTGATTAATCAAGTTCTTTTTTCCAAAAAAAATTCCATTTTTCTTGTTGTCCTTGAAGTGGAGTGTGGTTGATACTTGCATTCCTCTCGATTCTCCTTAAAGGTTTGAGTTATCGGGAACCTATTTATCAAATCTATTGCTGCAGTAAAGGATAATCGTAAGGTCCTTTTTTAAAAAGGATGATTGTTTCACAATTTTAAGCCTTATACTAAGCCTTATACTCACTCACCACGAAGCTGACATTGTTTCCTTGTACCATAAGTGAATAGGTGTTGTTGAAAGAGATGCATCTCAGCTTATTCAGTCTGGCTATAGATGTATTTCTTTCCAACGTAAAAACTGCAGAAACATAACACCAATATATAAGCTTTATGACATAGCACCAGTGACTTTTAGAAAATCTCACATTTTATTTTTCTGTCAAGTGGTGACACATTCCTGATCAAACCAGAGAGAGCCAAAGGGGATAATAGGAGACAAATTTTCAATTTATCAAAATTAGGTAAAAAGAAGAATAACATTGCAAAATTAAATATTTCTTGGAGAAGTGAAAACGATTTTTCCACGGGTGGGGGTGGGGTGTATCGAAAATCACGCTGTATCGCCAATAACTTAGAAATTAGCCAAACCACATGGTTCCCGCAGTCGTGCGATTGCCTTTGGTAATAAAATACGGCTAAATTTTCGGCTTGTAGAAATCTTTTCCATCTTAAAATGATTTTGAGATGGAAAGTGACTGACGGCAGTCGAATCACTTCATGAAACTCGCGAACTTGCCTGTTGTTGAATCCGTGTCTTTTCGGCACGATCGTCCGTTAGTAATAAAATATGAAATTTTCTGCTTGTAAATTTTTTTCCGTTTTAAAATAATTTTGAGATGGAAAGTGACTGAGAGCAGTAGAACAACATCAAGAAACCCGCCAACTTACGTGTGCTTGGACTGCTGTTCGTTTCGCCATCCGCCATCGCTGGGCATTCCATTCGCGAGTTTTTATTTTCACAATTTATCGTGTTAATTCTCATATAAAACCCACCATTAGTGCAACCACTGACAGTTAGCTTTACCGAGTCAAAACTGATAAAAGGGCGAGAGTATACTTCCACAGTAAACAAAAAGGCGAAAACAGTCTAGGAACAAAGAAAGCAGATATTATAAGTTGAAACAAAAATCAAACTAAATTCGAAGATAGTTTACCCTCAAACTCAAAATACCGTCAAACCTCTGTGTGTGACTACCCTTCGTAAGATCTCGTAAGCGACCGCCTCCCATTAGAAGCGACCACCTGCCTAGAAAAACTTTTTGTCCCAGTCAATTCTCAATGATTAGAACCTCTCGTAAGCGACTTTGACCACTTTTTGGCTAGATGTTTCCCATTATATTTAATCTCCTGTAAGCCGGTGACCACTTGATGCATTGTTGCTCGCTGTAAGTACTACGACGCTCAACGAAGAACGTATGAAGTGTCAAAACAAAATACAGGTATACGTAACTTAAAAATTGCAAGCAATAAATTCTACGGCAAAAAGTGGTTCGATTCTGAGAACTTGTAAAGTGTCAAAAACAAAATTACATGCATACGTGACTTAGAAATTGCAAGCAATAAATTCTACGGCAAAAAGTGGCTAGATTCTTGTAAGCGACGACCTCCGTTCCCGTAAAGGAATTTTAAGCGCGTAAATGAAATAGAGGCAATGTATGGACGTTCACGCGTAAGCGTGAAAGGTGAGCTAGGTTCAACTTTTACGCTTACGCACGGCCTTTCATACATTGCCTCTATCTCATTAACGCATGTAAATTTTACGTGCATTCGCACGGAAAAGTTACGCGACAGTGGAGATAAACCCTAAGTGACCCGCCCTAAACCTTTGCATTTCGGGAGGTTCGACTGCATATAAAAAGAGAAATACTTTGTTTTAAGTTGTAAACTCTGAATAAAGCACTTCTTGCAGGCCCCGTCCGTAAAACTCATCTCACAAAACTCGGTCCCCAGAATTAATCGCAAACTTAGAATGATGCGGCTAAATAAATTGGCCCTTATTTGGTATACTCACTGCAAAAAAACCTCTTAACTCCATTTTCTTCTGTTAACCACGACTTTCAGTTCTACTTCAAACTCTTTTGGATGACAACTCGATTAATTTAAGATAAAAGTTCGACGCCAACAATTTTATTTTTATAGTCTAACCATGATGTTTTAGTACAATTGTATCATATTTGAAGAATTCAATGCCCCTAGGCTTGTAAATTTTTGAATCCTTGATTAACATGCTAAGAAATTCTTTTGCAGTTAACGCTGTTTAAAAAAATAAAAAGTTTGAATAGTAATACAGTTTGAAGGTCCGAAATCAGCGGAAGTATCCTTTTATTAGAGTGATATAATGATCGCGAAGGTATTTATCTCTTCCTTAGCCACTTGGTATCCGCCTTAGGGGCAAAAATGAACTTTATTTTATGCCATTAATCCGGCAAGAATTAGCCGACCGGTCCAGTTTCAGGGATGCTTCTTTTATAAACTTCCCGTTGAGAGCACTGTCGAGAAAAATCTGAGGTCAAAGGTCTCTTTCCGCTTGTATTGCTTATCCACTTGTATGACTATCGAAGCGTGAGGGGTAAGAAATTATCTTTCTAGACCGATGTTCATCTATCGTGTAAAGGGAAAGGTGGAGTTGAGTTAAGTTGTCACAGATAGTCTGACTGAATTCGCGATCATGGCTTTGATGATTTTATATTGAGAAAACCGTTGGTAATTCATTTCAATGGTATTTATGAAGAATATTCTTAAATATCAGTTTTAACGACATGAAATATATTATTTATCGTGAATAATGCGTATAAAGGGTTTCGTTCCGACTGTTTGTCTCACGACCGTCACATAGATATTGATCGCGACGAACTACAGTACACGGTCGAAACGTTGCGATCATTATCTGTGTAACAATCGTGAGACAAACGATTAACGAAACCCTGAACCCTTGGAGGATATATCAGTTACTCAAAATTAATTACTCCCTCACCCACATCCAGTATATATGAAGTAATATAATGTTGCCTTAGAGATCTCAAGCATAGGCCGAGTAAGAGGTAAAACAAACGAAAGAAATCCAAACGAATGCCCTGAAATGCACTCATCACTAGCAAATTCAGTCAACCGAACGTTGCCTATAAGGAAGTTCGAAATCAGTAACTATCGAAATCTTGTCTCATTTGGAATTTAAAACCAAAACCCGCGAACTTGATCTTTCAGTGTTATTAATTGATCGTTACAGTTACTCGGAATGCTTTCTTTGTAAAATCTTAATTATTTATTATCTCATATTTTAGTTTATCTATCATATTTGTCCACATCAGCTGCATAGGCTGCCATTATTGACCTGCTAACCAAGTAAACCATGTATGTATGTATGTAGTTATCATTATCATAGATACATTTAAATAAACGTTGAATTACCTAACCTGTGGTATATTGTCGTCCTTTTGCCTCAAAAGCGGTTTTTTGAGCTATTTTGAAGGATTTTTAGTTTGCCGTTTACTGTTCGGCTTATAATAGAAGGAACCGGTAAACGGCAAACTCAAAATCCTTCAAGATCGCTCAAAAAACCGCTTTCAGTCAAGCAAAAGGACGACAATACACCACAGGTTAGGTAATTCAACGTTTATTTAACATTGATTTATATACCTTGCAAAGGAGCGTATAATTTGACGATGCTAATTCTCTCAGTTGAAGGCCACTGAATTCTTCAGTATAAAATAAGACGAAGCATACCCTACAGAATCATTACTCACTACTCACTACAATTTTCTTTCACAAAAAAGGCGCCTGAAAAATTGATACAATTTCTGGCATTTTTTCAGGCTAGGTTTATTTGTACAACATAAAAGTTAACCGACTTTCTTTCCCTTAACAAACTAGCTGAAGTTTTGTTTTGCAAACGCAGGATGATGAAACGCCCCGGGAACACATTTGTACGAACTAATTAACCTATCACTGGAAGTTCTTATAGCCATGAAATGTGCTAATAGCAGTATACGTATCCTTATTTAACCTGGCCGGTGAAATTTGTCGATTTATTTATTGCATTTCCTAAACCTGCATCAAATATAATCGATTTTTACCTGAAGCTATTGAAACTAATTTATCTTATCGTGCTTAGGTCATTGCATCACTGCCTATGACAGACCGGCAAAATTTGATTTAACTCAGCCCACCCTTCACTCAGTCTTCCCACGAGGGCGGACGCCTGTTGCAAGAGACACCTAAACGGTCTACCAACCACACACTAACACTGCATTATAATTTTATCTGATATCCCAGCTCTTGATTTTTTCCAAGAAACCTAACTGAAACTACTTCGGCTGAATTAAAAGACGTTCTTTTAATTTTCTCCTTGTAGACTGAATCGACAGACAGCCTGAAGCGACATAAAAGATATTAATTGTACAAATTGCAATGGTCCTTGTAAAAGTCGGTATTGGTTTATCATATATCTTCTAGCTGGCTCTCTGTAAAAGAAGGACCTCATCCGACTAATAACCGCTTTATCTATGCGAATTTCGCAATGTTTTCTTTTAAATCACCATCGTATTTTAATTTGTTATTCAGTACTGAGAGTTGCAAAGTGCTGAATTTACGGGGGCTGTTGTCTCGGCATCGAGTTCCGGATGAAAATTAATGAAGTTAGGCGTACCGTCCCTAGCTTTAAGTTGCTTAAAGACTCCAAAGTTTATGATATACTATTCCGCAAATCGTCTACGGTTGTTTTGCGATTGTTATCAACTACAGTCATTGCAAAAGAACACTGTGTTTTCCAGACAAAAAGGCGTCTATACCCAGTGCACTTCTTTATGTGGACTTTTTGTGTACAAAAAAAGGGAAATCTTTGAACCGTATAGATTGGAAATTTTGAAGTTATGGTTACACACACAGATTGTGTGAGCTCCTTGTGGTGTGTGCCGCCTTGCTCTCCAAATCGTGACCCTATCCACTTCGAATTTGTATCTTACTCTTCCTTCCTCAGTATTCATTTCGGAACTGAAATAACAAATACGTTCATACACTCACGTAATTCCATCGAAAACGATACCCGATTCCAGACCAAAATGGGAAAAATGTAGACCCGTTTTCAGACCTAAACGGCTTAAAAATATATATTCGTTCGGGGCGGCGCATACCTACATGTATATGGCTTATATAAGGGAGTTCCCCCCCCCCCCGGGACATTTACAGTAGAGGAACTTTAGATCAGAATGCTTTCTAGCTCTTCAATGACTTATCATTCTGTATTCGTTTATTATGCGACACACTACTATATACAAGTACCTTTAAAGTTAAACTGTTGATTTTGTGATTAATATTTTAAGTCATTTAGCTTAAGTCTCCAATTTTCCCAATTAGTGATTCTATTATACTACTATAATGACTATAACACTTTAATAACTGAATTTCTAATTCTTAAGTTGAACGTTAAACAAACGCTGAATATGTGATCTTAGTCTTCCAACTTCCTAACCCCCGGTGGATTATTATAAAATCGAATCATATTACATTGCTTTTGGCAATCTAGCAGATCAAGGTCAATTTTAGTTTCTTCTTCATCAGACAAACTTCTTGTGCGTTGGCGTGGCTTAGCACTGTTAGTATTGGGTATTTTAAAATTAAAAAGTAAATTAGCAAGAATTAGTTCAACTTGAATTCGCCTGCGTAGCAAGCGTTTCCAATCTCGGAAGTTGAAACGACAGCTGCAATAGATGTGGAGGATCTTTTTTGCTCGCTTGCTTCGCAGGCTAAAATTCAGCTGTTCAGCTAAATTGCTTGGCTATTGGTTTATACGGCCGTTTGTCATTCTGGCTTGCGTGGGTGAGTGAGTCCTCATAGAAATGTAAAACGCAGTACGTACGCGGATGATTCGTAATTCCGTGTACTTCAGTGCTTTGTAAAATTAAGGTTACGTAGATATGAAATTCTTTCGCAATGGCTAATAAATTTTAAAAAAATCACAAAGTTAAGGAAATGGATAATCATTTGAGAGCTCCCCGCTGGTCTTCGCTTATTTTATCATATTTTATCGGTATCTGACATTTCGAGTTGGCGTGGGGTCATGTACAAAATACTCAGTCTAATCATGCGTTTGTAATTAAGTATGGGTGAATCAAGAAAATTCAGAAAGGGGTGATCGGGACACTTGCCAGCTATATAGATACTTTTTATTGTACTGAGAATTCTTTAAAAATACCTCAGAAAAAAGGGGTCGCTGCTGTCCCCTCAGCGGAGTGACAGGGCGCTTTCCATTTAGTCAAAATTTCCGGAATTTCCGGTTCGGCGGTAAATGGAACACGTTTCGTCGGTTCGTCCCACTGGAAAATTCCCAGAAAAAGTGGAAAATCTAAAAAGGTGGTCCCGTTTTCCCGGTTGGAATTTCCGAACGGAATGTCGTGTTCCATTGACGTTTCTTGTAGTTTGTACCAGTTCCAGGTCCACGGTCGGGCACCCGGCCACGTACCGGGGTTTACGACCAAATGGGACAACTTTTTACCAATCGGAAATTCCACTTTTGCTACCACCGAAATTTCCGGGTTTTTTCGTAAATGGAAAGCGCCCACAATGAAACTACTAAACCAGACACGACGAGGAGCATTTTTAAAACAAACATCATTTGTTTGTAAAGAACAGTTTAACAATTGTAAAAAAGAAAAGACCGTGACCCCCACTTTGTAAGAGCTACTCGGCCCTGATCCGTTTTCTCTTTCCAAAAAATGCTAGAAACTTGATAAACCAAAGTTCATGTTATATCTAAAATTGACTGTGATGCTATTGACGCTATTTGGGACTGTTGGTATACAAGATTTTTTTTTCGTTAGAATTTTTTCCCTGTTAATCTCTGACGACAAAACAGACAAGTGAAAAAAAAATCATGAAGCTAACATAAAAAATATATATATATTTATTTTGTGCATTTAAAAGGATTGTTTTAAGGCTCATAATTCTTTACATTACCGTTTAAGTGAAACCAAGACAACGAAGACTAATTGAAGTTACACAGACGAACCTTTTGGTTAATTGAAAAACTGAATAAAACTACATTGTTGACTCCCGATAATTCGAACCCTCGCGCCAACTCGAACCCAAATCGATTTCGCCTGGATTTCCTTCATGCACATATTTACTGTAATTTTACCCTCGATAACCCGAACCATGTTTTACAGCGCGTGAAAAGCCGAGAAAAAAAAGTGTACCGAAGTCCGAAACACTCGGAATTTATTTCATTAAAACCAAGTCACTCCTAATATGTCCTTACTTTTATCTCACTCCAGCTCAAAATGCAGTGTCCATCCGTGTATATTAATCAAGCGTTATTGCCTAATTCCTTTATTTCACACATTAACCTATGTCTCTTACTACCCTCCCCGTCCATTTGCTTAATATTTTCTTATTTCCGGTTATTTGCTTCGAACTCCCGATAACTCGAACTTTTTTCGATTTTCCTAGAAGGTTCGAGTTATCGGAAGTCGACGTATCTGCATATATGAAACATGAAGCCTACCTGTGATACATACATATACATAGTTTTACATACATACATACGTTTATTCAAAGC